CCCGCATTTACTGACTGAGCCCAAAGCCAAAAAAATAAAAAATAAAAAATAAAAAATAAAAAATAAAAATAAAAAAAGCCGAAAACTATTTGGAGCACAACACCGACGCCGTCTTACCTGTGATGCGACCATTTGTTCAACCGAACGCGTGTTCATTTACGTCTCTGGGTGTTGTTCAGTCCAGCAACTTTCAACGCTAACTGACACGCCCCGCTGAGATACGTAGTCTGTACTCTGTCCCTCTCTCCTGCTGCTGCATTCTTCTATCCACACCCTCGATCAAGTCTTTGCGCACGGCGCAGAGGTATCTTGATGACCAGACAAAGAGACATAAATTAAACGTGGCAAGCCACCGGGAGGAGGTATGTCCACACCTCGTCGCCCTCATTTATCCAAGCTCTGCCCGCCACCAGCAGCAATGAGCATTCATTTGTCGTGCCCACGTACATCTCACCGTCGCATCACATGCACACTCGCTAACGACGTGCATCATCCTAGTGTAACCTACCGAGCCTACCGACCTAACTCTCGAGCTACTGACACTAACAAGCGGCTGTGTCTCTTCCCTGTCTTGCCTGTGTTTCTGTCCCGCGTCCAGGCTAGATACTTACATAGATTCTGCACTGGGGCAGATCTGAGAAGGCCGCTCGCTCGCTCGCTGGCCACAGCTATCGACGCTTATACCGGCGCCATCGCGAACCCTATCTCTCGTCTCAACCAGCGCTAGTGGATTACTAGACCCGACCTCGGCCAAGCCACGTTTTGCCGACCAGCCGATCCTGATCCCCAGCTAAGACCAGGCGCAGGTGGTTGCGTCAATACATCATGTCGTCGGCCCAGGCTCCGCTTCCTGCTGTCGCGCCGGCCAGCGACACCCAGCCGAGCCAGTATAACAACACCCACACCGCCCAACAGGACCCCCAGGGCCCCATCACCGCTGCTTCACCTTCGCAACAGCGACCGCCCTCCAGCTACTTCCCCTACCCGACCCAAGACATGGCTGCTGTCCAGGACCAGACGCTGTCCAACACCCTGGCCAACACCCACATCGCCTCACCTGTCCCCGGCGATGGCCAACACCACCAGCCCAGGTTCAACGAGGAATGGGACGCTAGCGTGAGAGGCAGCTCCATCGTAGACGGGCCCTCTGCCGCCCACCACTCGTACTATCAGCAGCAATCGCAGACTCCCAATCTACAGCGTGCTAATTCCACCTCGTCGCGGTCCGAAATGATCACCAGCGACAGCGCGAGCGCCCACGGCATCTCCTTGTCGAGAGGCAACACGCTCAAGAAGAAGAGCTCGCTACGTCGCAGCGGCAGCCTGAAGCGAAGTAGCAGTCGGAGAAGCATGAAAGCCGGAAGTGTACGGAGTCTGGCATTGCAAAGCTCACATGAACCCGATGAAATCCACAGCGCCTTCCACTGTCCCGTTCCTACCTCAGGCGCGCCCACCGAGGTCCTGGCTCAAAGATTTCAATGTAAGTCACGGATGAGCTTCCATGCTGATTGAAATCGCATCGTATCCTATGTTGTTATGTCTCCGTGATCAACTCATTGACCTGTACTAGCTTGGCGCAAGATCCTCAAGGACCTAATCGCATACTTCCGAGAGATACAAGCTCATTACGAACACCGATCAAAATCGCTACTAAAGCTCGCCAATGTCTGCAATAACATTTCGACCCCACCCGGGTTTCTATCGTCCGGAGGCTTGGATGACGCCTTGCAAATCCTCAGGGACTATCATAAATCATCCATCTTAGAGGCAAACAAAGCCAAAGAGATAGAGGGAGACGTCATTCTAGCTCTCACTGGGTTGAGAAGCGATCTAAACCAAAAGATGAAGGAGATCAAGAGCTTATCTGGAGACTTCAAAAACTCTGTTGACAAGGAGATGGATGCGACAAGAAGGACTGTTAAGACCCTTCAAGATGTGTTGGGACAAAACGAGATGGATCCTTCCATGACAACTGGCAAGCAAGACCCCTACCTCTTGAGGTTGGCAGTCGATCGACAAGTGGAGCGACAGCTCGATGAGGAGAATTACCTGCATCAGGTATGTACAACCTGAAGTGGATGAGACGACATTTTTATGGCTCACATTGATCTCTAGGCGTACTTCAACCTGGAGGCTTCAGGTCGTGAGCTCGAAGCTATCGTGGTTGGCGAGATTCAGAAGTCGTACAACGCCTATGCCGGTATTATCAAAAGGGAAGCAGACGCCGGCTACAATGCAATTGACGAACTCCGATCCGGCCCTATCGCCATGCCGAAGGACCGCGAGTGGATGAACTTCGTCCAGAGAGACTCCCAATTCGTGGACCCAGAGATTCCTATCAGAACACCAGATCATATTCATTACCCAGGACAGGATCACTACGCCTGTCAAGAAATTCGCGCCGGCCTGCTCGAGCGCAAGAGCAAGTACTTGAAGAGTTACACGGCAGGATGGTATGTAGTATGCGCATAATATGACGGATAGAACTGACAATTGACAGGTATGTCCTTTCGCCGACACATCTCCACGAGTTCAAGTCTGCGGATAAGACAGGAGTTCCCGTCATGTCATTGTATCTTCCGGAGCAGAAGCTTGGCTCGCACTCATCAGAAGGCGGGTCCTCCAACAAGTTCATACTAAAGGGCAGACAAACGGGAACCATGCACCGTGGGCACACCTGGGTTTTCCGCGCCGAGAGTCACGACACGATGATGGCTTGGTACGAGGATATCAAAGCTCTCACCGAGAAGTCGCCCGAGGAACTCAGCAACTTCGTCCGCGGTCATGCTAGGACCTACTCGCGATCGTCGCAACGGAGTATCAGCAGCGACGGTAACATCGACGAGGAAGATGACGTACCGTTCACAGCCGACCCCGCAGTCACCACGCCCAGTTCGCGTCAGGATTCGTACCAGAAACAACACCATGCAGGTGGGCGATTCCCGTCCGATATTCAGGTGAACGCGCAACGGGGCTTACAGGTGTGGAATTCGCCCACTAGTTCAGGGACGAACATAGGCGAACCTTCGATGATGAACGGTACCTCCTACCCCGATCACGATGTCATTGCCGCCGCGGGAGCGCTGCCGGGTACTGGTATCGGCGAAAACTACTCCTACAATGATCAGTTGCAGCCACAGACGCAGATTGGTCAGTCGTACGGAAACACGTCGAATATCAGGATCGCTCAGGCGCCGAGTCACGGCGTTATGATGGAGCATGCTGCAAGAGAAGACGGGGTCAACCCCTACAGTGGCGAGCCCATGGGAGTAGGAGCAGGGGCGGGAGTTCAGCGATTCAACTCGACCCGCTCAGCCAACGCGCCCATCGTCGTGTCCGGTCCAGTGTCGGCTAGCATGCCTCCCCAGATGCAGACTCAGCCCCAGCCTCGATTTCAACCTCAATTTCAGCCTCAGGTTCAGAACTCGAGAGCTAGCGTCGCGAGTACCGGTGTAAGCGAGGATTCGGGCCTGTCTAGCTCGTTCGACGCCGGCCAGCCGGCGTTTGGCGAGGGTTACAACGCTGCCACGCCTGTGCCGATGGCAGTGGATTATAGCAACAATGGTTACTCACAAGGGGGTATGGGTATGGCGAACGGCTCTTCTCAAAAGCAGGGGACCCGGATTGTGAACAGCGGGACTTTTGGACCGCAGTATGCTCAGGGTCAAGGACAAGTGCAGGGGCAAGGGCTGGTCAGACCTGGTGGGCAGAGGACGAACAGCACCCCGCATGTACCAGGCGAGTACCCGAGGAGCTCGATGAGTGGGCCGCCGATGGCTTGAGATGGAGGTTTCAGTTAGTCGAATGGAAATGTAAGATACCCGTGGTTCCTTTTCGGCCTGTTGGGGATTAGGGGGATTAGGAAGAAGGATTTTCGAAATTTTGAATTATGGTTTTTTGAGCTCAATGGAAATGACAATAGCAGTAGCAACAGCGGTAGCAGACTGGGTTTGCTTACTTTCAAATTCGTTACGGCTTGATTCCTGGCGTGGGTGAGTTAGTATGTGGATGTCTACGGATTGGTTGTGTGATTTGGTCCTTGACAATCCGTTTTAGTTTTATATACCTACCTATCTATCTATACCCTCTAACTCTTTATTTTTTAAATGTATGTGACTTGCTTTAACCCAAGCTATCTAGATTGGGGCTCAGGGGTGCTGTCATTTGCATGTAAGTGTAGGATGAGTAGGGTCTACAAGAAAAGGTTAGGACAAGCACAAGCACAAGAAATCAGGTGAGCGGTTGATAAGTATTACTTGATACGGGCTGACCACCTACCTCTCGGCTACCTACTAACAAGGAGGTAATTGTTGAACATCTGTCTCCAAGCACCAATCAAGTATTGGCTGATAGTAAAGAAGTTCTGATGAACCTACTCCCTGTATCATGTATGAATGAAAGAGAATACGCTTTTTCTCCGTTTGTGTGTTCAACTCAAAGCATACATGTCCAGAGCACAGATGTTGGTTAGCTACCCAGGTTAGGTGCTTATTTTCTCGAGTTGTACAATATTGTTATGGTTCCACAGCAGAAAATTCTGTCAATGTGCCCGTGATCCTTTGGAACGAGGAGACAGGAAGGAACCCCTTGATTCAAAGTATCAAGCAAGAGGGCCTTCTATATCAAGAACGTGTGACCTATGTCTCCCAGGGCTTATCTCCAAGTGTTATTGTTAAGTTACAAACGGTAACCTGTAAAGCATGACAAACTCAATACTGGTGAGGTGTGTACCTAGGGAGTTAGGCAACGTGTGAACAGCACCCTATAACGAACTCTCTAACAAACAGATAAACCGTTACACGGGTAAGCCGTGGTTCCATTCAATACATCTACGCTAACGGTCCTTCTCCCCCTCCCTCTTCCTCAACAAACCCAGCCTCCCAAACACGCTAACGAGCAAACAATCTGCCCCCAGCACCCTGGGGTATATACGCCGCAATACGGGCACGGATTTACAACAGAGGTTAGGGGACAACCCAAACTTCGCATGTCGTGGGGAGGGTGCGTTAGGGAAGAGGTTTAACCCGCTCCATTTGGGATGGAGAGATCGCTGGTTCGAATCCGGCACGTGCCCGGAATTTACTTTTTTGCTTTTTTCATCATCATCATCATCATCATGCATGGTCCTTAGTAGACCTAAGTCCTTATAGATGATTATCTCTTTGTGCAAATGCTTTCTGCTAGCTGACTGCTTTTGTAAGTCTTTTTTTCTTGTTCATGCTTGTGGTTCTGCTGCATGATGTTGTGTCGTGAAGAGTGTCATTCTGAGCTGGTGTTGGTGTTAGTGTTTTTTGCGTTGCCTTTTCCTACCTAGAGGCTGTATTTGTGCACCTGCCTGTTAACTACCCGCCATGCCCACTGCACAGGTAAATATTAGGCAGTGCAGTGCTTCTGCGGCTTGGGCAATAATCTGCGTCGAAAGTAGCATGTGCGCACGTATGTGTTGTGATTGTTGTGATGCGTTTACATCTTGCTGGCCATAGATAGGTACGTACTTGTATCACGATTTGCGAGCTTCTGAGAATCATTCCCAAACCCGCAGCCACTCATAGTAATTAATCTATTAGCTGTACAAGATATGTGATGGGAACTAGAACTGGACCAAAAATCCAACAGACTTGCACACAATTGACTTGCACACAGTTACAATACCAACAACAAGATGATCGGGGTTTTCAACATTGCAATATCGCAATATTGCAGCATAGGTATTTAAGGACATACCCGTGTCATTGTTTAAGGGTTGTTGATTGGTAAACAGGTACTGTCTTTTTTGTCTCAATTTGAGAACATCACAACTTCAAAGAAAACAAGAAGACCAAATACCACTTTAAATTAATACATCATAAAAACTGATACAATAAAAGCATGATTACATCTACTCTCTCAATGGATTACAGTCTTAGTTGATGCTACATTGGTAGTATTTGCTCCAACATAAGCATAAGGGGTAGGCAACACTTAGTACATTCAACCCATCATTCCCCTTACATACTACAACCATGGACATCTCACTCGGAGTAGCGGCATTTCGTTCAATTGTGTACTTGTATTTATTTGAATCTATGCTATAGCAGCCCAAGTCAAAACGCTCCAACACTCTATCCCTTGGCGAGTCTAAGGAGAGCAGCCATGTCGCCATTGAAGGTGTCCGAGTCTATTGCACCAATGTCAGTTTCCAGCCCTAAAAAAAGAACTTCCTAAATCTAGGGAGTGAAGAGAATACGCACCACCACCATACTTATAAGCATCATTAAACTGCCAAATAGTATAATACGGCCAGCCGCCCGGCGGCGTGCCGGCACTGCTGGCATACCGCGCCAGCACCAGCGGGTTGGTGTTGACAAAGGCCTTCGAGTTGCCCGTGCACGACGACCACCACGACGGGTTCGTGTAGATCAGGGGATACACCCCCGTCTTGGCGTGGTACGTGTCGCTGAAGTCCTTGATCCAGCTCACGGCCCCGCTTGCGGATAACACACAGCTGCCTTCGAGATCGAGCATACCGGGCAACGTGATCCCGTCCCCGGACCACCCGCCGCCGTGCGCGAGGAAGTAGTTGGCCTGCGCGGCGCCCGAGCTTGCGTCGAGGTGCGCGAAGTGGTAGCCGCCGCGGATCAGCCCCGCGTTGGTGGCGCCGGCGTAGTGCGAGGAGAACTTGGGGTCTTGGTAGGTTGTTCCTTCGGTTGCCTGCAGGTGTGCTTGAGGTTAGCTTGTTGGGCTCCTGTGTTTCTCGTGTGATGATGGCGAGTGGTGTGTATATATATACACACACTCATCATATATGTGTCTTACCTTGATGATGACGAAACGGGCGCCTGAGCTGTAGGCCGCGCCGAAGTTGACGCTGGACTGGTAGTGGGAGATGTCGAAGCCCTGGACAGCCGCGAGGGCGCCGTTGGCGAGGGCGAGGGCGGAAGCGAGAGTGGCCTTCATCTTGCCTGTTCTGATGCTCTATCACTCAGTTTTGATGTGTCGTGATAAGTCAGAAGCAAGTAGATGCTATTCCCACGGGGCGAAGGAGGAGCTTTATACTAATAGCAACACCTCTCGGATCGTCATTGCCTCTAGACGATAGATGATAGACGAGAGCTACCTAACCACCTGCCATATCGTTCCATCGACTCATGAGCGAATCAAAGCTAGCATGGCATCAACATGCATATCAACGATCCTCCAATTCGCTATCTCGTGCGCCATGTAGGTAGCGTAGGGCGGAAAGTGTCGATCATTCGTTCAGCCCGAAGCTGCTTCTGGCCAAGCTCAGGGTCCCGATCAGGGGTAGCTGACGATCTTGGGGACGTCATATCTTTCGCTAGGTAGCTGGCTATCAAGTTATGTCCCTCGTTGCGGCTACATTGAGACAAGCGACTCAAGCCACTGGGCGTTCACCTGCCGATTGTAGAACATCGTGCCAAGGTTGGTGGTTTAGCTTGATGCGCCGTGGGGTGGCATCGATTGGGTCACGGCGGGTGAATTCCGCTCTGGGGCTGAAAGCTTGTTGATCTTGGCACCGATCGCCCTCGGTATCGATTCAATATAATGAACCAGATGTCGAAGGGATGGACTCGATTCTTCTTGCGGTGGTGTTTATTTCAGGCCACGATGATCTATTGCCTCCCATGACATATGTTGCCTTCTCCAACCTCTTATGCACCAATGAGATCAGGAACTTGTCCTGGGAGCATGAAGGCATATAAAGACTTCGAGATAGCAGGCCAGTACTGATACCATGTCTGTTAATATCGCAACTCAATGTTATAGCTCAATTCCTCATGATCTCGATATCGCTTAGGCTCTGAAGGGCGGGAGGAAGATAGGATATTTGAGCCATCGAGTGTGCAACAAGTCGCGGATTGCATTCTAAGACGTGCAGCGTGGAGACCACATCCATGAGCTGTATACACACTCGTCGTGGTAGTTCATGTCATCGTATATGGAATCAGTTACGTTCTCGGTCTCATGCCTCATCTCATGTGGCTTCATATGAACCGTGACGACGTGTTCATAGTACACCTTGTCATATGATCACCCCAGCATTCGGTGGCCAATGCCTTCACTGTTGATTGAACCAGCGGGAGTCAAATGTTGAGATGAAACATGCCATCGTCAATCACCGCGTCGTCTCATAAGTAGCCGTTCACTAATCCAAAAGACATCCTAAGACATCCGTCCTCAACAGTAGTCTGCAAGGACAGGCAGACTACAGGCAGCGTTCTGTCGAGTTATGTACGTATGCATGGTTCGATTTCCGATTACCTAGTAGTAGTGAACTGAGATTAGTGAACCTAGGTGATTAGTGAACGGGTAGGAACTGGGGAAAATAACAACTTATGCGATAGAAGGATTCTTATGCATTGCAGATATGGGTCAGATGAGCCGGCCTAACGAACTAGAGGCCAGATAGTTCCTCTCTGATTACTTTACCTAACTGCAGCTTCAACTGCATACATATGCACTGCACCGAGTTAGTCAGATTGGAAGACCATTGCAGTCTGCTTCCAGTTTGGAGCCTAGGTCGGCTCTAGGTGGTTCTGCATCGCCACTTCTACCCCGAGTACCAGTCAGGGTTGCATGTGGATGGATACAGCCAAGGAGGATGACAGGTGGTGAGAAAATAGGATTATGTTGGGAACCTGTCATCATGTACCTACATAATACTGAGCAGCTTTTCTAGATGGTGCTTATGCAAGTGAGCAACTTATACGGCAATAGTAGATTGCGATGGTTTCCGGCATTTTACGGACACCATATAATATGGTGGTAGATGGGAATAAAGTAGAGATGAGCCGAACAGCATGCTCCCGAGTATTTCGGCCCCCGAATGGCAATAGCCGGTTGGGATCGCAGCTGGCGAGCTGGTAACCTGTCGGCCGAGAAGTCCGTCAGAATTCGGAGAGTTACTTGCTGAGGATTCGGCGCTAATCAAGTCAGCACCAAGCCCGAATGCACTAGAGCCTTGCAGATTGGGGGTGTGATAGGCCAATTCTACCTAGTAGACCGCAGCTAGATCCACTAAGCAACCACCGTTTCATTCAGGGTCTTGGTCGGTTGCCGACCCTCAGGTTATCATGATTCTGTCTGCTCTCCAAAGACCAGAAAGACCACAAAGTCGGTGAATTCGTTTCTCTTGCTTCATACAGTGCATTTTATTTCTCCTCACCTGTCAGAGTTTCTCATCTCAGTCTTGGAGCTATGGTGTAGCTATGTGAAAAATATAGAGTATGGCATCGTGGTCGCGTGGCTAATCTTTTAAACTAATACCGAGGCCCGACTAAGGCTGGTTTTTTCCCAGCTGTTACCTAGACCAGGGCCGGGTAGGTACCAATTTAGGTACCTGTAGGCATGTGTGTGGCCCAGCTTTTAACCTGCGTAAGCTACGGAGGTACCTATTGTAGTACCTAGCCTTTGTTTGGGGTTTTATACTCACAATTTGGCGAACTTAAAGGCGCTGGCCTCCGACTGCGCATGATTCCCCCACGTCTTCTCCTTTCAACTGAAGTTGTCTGACTCTCGAGATCGAAGTTAAAAACCCACGCATTTGCTACCTTGTTTGCAATTGCACCTATATACTTACTCTCCGTTCTGACCTATTGGAATATATTTCAGGTATATTAAGAACAGCCCCGTGCTTGACCAAACCAATTGGTGGTGTCTTACCTTTTATTTCAAATAATTTCAAATACCTGAGTTGTCAGAAGGGAAGCTACATATCCGTCGGCCGTCTGCTGCCGCTTACGCTGCGTACCTACCCACCTACCAAAATCGACAGAGGAAATAGAGAGAATGTCTGCCTCCCCAGAATATCCCCGTGCTGGAAAGCGTCCCCGTGAGTCATTGTCTCCCTATGAATATTCGATGTTTGAGCTCAACGCGGCATCTTATCGTTTGATAAAATTTATCGCTTTATCGGTTTGGGTTACTAGTGGCCCCCGCTATCATGGACTTCATGACAGCTCTAAAAAAGCAATGCACAAAGTAAATGCAAATCAAAAGTGAAAGCACCATCACCACTACCACTGCACCTGGCAATCAGCAGCAGCAGCATTATCGTCACGTTATCGTCAAGGGTAC